ATTTACATAGTGGAAGTGAAATAATAAATATTATTATTCAAGTTAATAAATGATAACTTATTGAATATAATAAAGTGGAAGTGAGAATATTAAGTGGAAGTTATATAATCAATTAAATAATTAATTATATTGTTCTGTCCTAATAAATATTGAGGAAGTTTGATGACAAAGTATTTATTTAATACTAAAGATGATAAATGGAAGTTATGAAGATATATTATTAAGGATGATATGATGAAATTATGAAGATAAATTAATAAGGGAGTTATAATAAAATTATGAATATATAATATTAAGGAAGTATGGAAGTTGAGAAATATAATATTGAAATGGATGTATTATGATTACAGTGGATGAATATTAGTTTGTTAGTTCTATCTAAAAACTAACTGGTGCCTTCTAAAATTCAAGGAATAACCAAACTGGAACTCTTGTACCTATGGGGAAGGACTATAAACTCCTTAAAAGAACCATTGAGTGGATGTTAATGATAACACCCATGACAATGGTAATATTGGTTAGAAATGGTTAACAGCCTGTAATATCTCTATTACTAATTTTATAATTCTTGAATAAAGTTACTGAATAAAGTCTGAAGCTAAGATTCAAAAGTTTGCATAGTGAGCTGTAAAAAGTTATGTCACTCACCCACGTACCTTCAGATCACACCTGTGTATACTGTGTTAGAGTTTATTTTATATATCTGTTTGTTGTGAGTAGGAAAGTGACTACTTGATCCTACTGGTGGATAGTGGGCATTATGAAATATTGCATACAAGAGTACATTGAGTTAGTATGAAAAGGGGTGTAACAAGAGTTCGATTTAGTGGGACTGATTGACATAAATTTACTGTTTTTTCTGGGCAGACCACCACAATATTATCACATGATATGAAGCATGTATTGTCATGGACTGTGCAGAATGACATAGAAAGTTATGTTAACACAGCAGAGATTATTTGAGGTGTAGTAAGATCAGGCAATCAGTTGATCTAAACCTGCTACTAACAGTCACAAATAATGTGCATAATTACATGTTATATCTGAAGGTAATAATGAGCAAGTGGAGTAAAAATATCTTCTACTGACTACTTGCACACTACCAAAAACTGAAACAGACTTTTAATGTAACTTTGCAAGAAATACAAAATAGTTTATTAAATTTTATTAAAGTCTAATATAGGAATACTACAATAGTGATATATTACTTCTTTAGTGTATCTTATCACTTTGCTATCTCTCTACACTAAATTATGTTTTATTACTGAATTATTACAAATATAAAGAAAAAAAAAAGTCTTATTTTATTGTTAAGCCCCAAAAGGAATCTCTATTCTTCCCTTCCCAACCCGCAGTTATTTTATATCTTTTCCTTATTTACTTTCATCCATCATCACCCATAAACACGGGATGAATAAACAATTATCTTGGATGACACAAAGATAATTCATCCAAATAGTAACACTTATCATTTCCCGTGACTTCGGTTAATTTCGGGCCACCTCAATATATATTTTACATATCTGATTTTATTTTATCTAATCAGAAAAAGCAACCAAACAACCATACAACTTTGAAATAAAAGTCTCAATAATTTAATTCCCATGTCTCACAAAATAGAAAACATAAAGTATTGCCCGAAAGGTCATTCTTCTGAAGATATCGCTTATTCTGATTGCAAAAAACTTATTCATCGTGATAAAGGAAAATTTTCATTATGTACCAAAGAACATTTATCCAAGAATTTAAAATTTATTTTAGTGGGAATGCCAACATTGATAAGATTATACAAGAATCTCAGATAAATAACATTGGTAATGGCTTACAATGGATACCTTATGATAATTTTCAAAATATCAAACACATAACAGATGGTGGAAATGCAACTAAAGAGATTGCTAAAACTTATTCGACCAACATTAGACGCGTTAACCATTAAAGCATCAATCAACTACAAACATACGCGAAGAATATAATAATGAAGAATGACAGCAAGGAAATAAAATGTATTTCACACGCAATACTAAAGACTTAATATAATCAATTGTCTTTAGAAAATTTCAGATATAAAATTTCCTTTACCGTATGAATGGAGTAAGGAAGCAACCAATAATATAATATACTATCATACACTATTTGTGAATATTAAAATATAAAATATTTCACATAAATTAGAAATAGAAAAAAATACTAAATTTCTAATCCAAGTAAGTGAGGACGAAATTATGTTATACGATTCCTATATTTACTTTACTATACTTTCTCCATTAATTAAAAATGATACTCTGTAAAATATAAAAAAAAACACTACCAATGGACGAATTTTGTTACCATCAACTAGAAACCAATGGCCCTTTTAGTTAATCAAGCATAACAAGACATATATCTCACAGAACAATCTTACAGTAGGTGTAGAGATGTCGCCAACCATTACCTATTAAGTGTCATATGTAATTTTCAAATATAATATAATCATATGTTAAAACACATGACAAGCATATACTGAATCCCAATCTTAAATTCCAAATATATTTAAGGATTAATGTACCATATTCTGATGGAGTATCTCCTTCCTAAAATGCTAAATGAGATACAGAGCTACTCTGTATAAATAATTCACTAAATTATCTCCCTCTAAAATGTGTATTCTTGTTCACGAGTTCTTATTATATTTTTTTATAAACAAAAAGTTCCATTTATCAGTTTTTTTTACATTTCTTCGTATCTATTTTTCTATTAAATTACAAATTAATCAAAGTAATAGTAACTGTGACTAAATAGATAATATGTGAAAATGAAAGATAAAAGTTTAAAAACATAATAACTCACACTCGAAGCTATAAAACGAACTTCACACACGAGTGTAGCTAAATTGAACAATTAGGATGGTTGCCTGTCTACTTAGTTACCTGAGATAGGTCCTCATCATGGATCAATAAGTGAAATGATATATGTAAATATAAATATGAAAATTTATGTGAAGCTCTTAATAATAGTATAAGTAGTAGAGTATAAAATTTAATAATAACTTTCAACAATAACAACAATCCAGATGATAAAGTTATTTTATAATTGTTGATTTAAATCTGTATTTGATGAATATGAAATCATAATTAACTTTGTAAAAATTCCTTTACAAAGAATCATGATTTTTTATTTGATTTTTATTAATTATTTAAATTTTATTATTTATAATTTATAATTTTATTTTATTATTAATTTTATGGAGATGGTCAATGGAAATACTTCTCTTACTCTGGTAGCATCGAACCAAAGAAATTATTATTATTATTTTTACATCATCAAATCTAAATCATTAAACTTGAATTCTTCAATATGGAATCGATATAGAATGATGATGATACTAGTATCATGTATAAACACCTCGGTACTAAAGCTGATTTCTCCGTTGGTTATATTAAATACTTCAGCGATTCTGTAGATGAGGAAGGATTGATTTATTTGATATTGGTTACTGACTAATAATCATGTCAAAATCTATGTTGAAGTCATGTTGATAGATTAATAATAAATAGTTTATACATTAATTTACTCCACGTTAATTCAGGCAAATGATACGCTTCACTCAAATCATCACCATTGACGAATGTAAACTTAAAACTTACATATTCATGAAATAAGAATGTTAATTTAATGGATGATAATATAGTGAATAATATGTTATGCAACAACTTTAAATTGCTAATGAAAGCAAAATCTCAAAAGCAAGAATTATTTGAACTATTTTCACATTCAAGTAAGTTGCATCCAAGATCATGTTATATCAGTCGATATATTCATACTTGTCACAGATTGCAAGATTTATTGGAAGCAATGTAATCTTTAGGTAATACTGTATTTTTGGAATAAATTATTTATGTGAATATAATAAATAATAAAGGCTAAAAAACAACTGCTTCTCTTTAGTTTGCCATTGTAGGAATTCTAAAGAATTCCTAAGTATTTAATAGTAAAAAATCCGTGCCGTTCTCTAAGATCTCGGGGATATGAAACAATGTAGAAAATTATATTTTTACGTTCAAATACTCAATTGTCTAATTTGATAATCTTGGCTATTTTTCCCTGTGTATCATTGATCGAAAAAACAATGACATACGGAAGGTAATAACAAAAATGATCAGCATAATGGGTTGAGTGTGTTCACACGAGGAATTTGGATATGGGCCGAATCCAATTATCAATCCATTTGATCCATACACAATTCGTGTAACAAACATCAATCCAGGTGCGAAACACAAATAAATATAATCAGAAAAGGAAATGACTATCACAATGAATTATTTATAGTTATAAGGGAAAAAAAATTGAATATTCAATAACGACCATTCTCATGTCTCAAGAAATAGAAAAAATAAAGTACTGTCCGGCAGGTCATTCTTCTATGGATTTCGCTTATTCTGGGTACAAAAATTCCATTCGTTCAAGCGGGAGATGTAATTTGTGTACTAAAGAACATTTTATCCAAGAATTTAAAACTTGGACTAGTGGGAATGCTAATATTGATAAGATCATACAAGAATCTCAAATAAATTTTTTTTATGATAAGATACAATGGATCCCTTATAATTTTCAAAATATCAAACACATAGCAGATGGTGGTTATGGATCTGTGAATTCTGCCAAATTAGGACAAGGAGTAAAATGGAATTGGAATTTTATCAAACAAGATTGGGAATATGATTTAATTGGTCGCAAAGTTGCTTTAAAAGAAATAAAAGACTCGAGATATGATATAGTTGAATTTCTTAAAGTGGTATGTTTCTTTATATTTAGAATATAAGTTATTATGAACTGTATGAATATTTCGTAGTTTATTAATTGGTCTTTTATATTAAGATAATGACTATTAATGATAATAGTTATGATTATATTGCTAAATATTATGGAATTTCAAAAAATCCTTCTACACAAAACTACATTTTAGTTATGGATTTATTTGATGATGACTTACATAATTTCTTAACCAAAAATTTTTGGGATTTAGGGTTGAAATCAAAAATAGAAATATTAGGTTCAATAGCATCAGGTCTTGAAAGCTTGCATGCAAACAATTTTGTTCATTGTGGCCTTCGTAGTGGAAATATTTTGATAGATTATCTTGACTTAGAATTAGAAATAGATTTAGGTTTACGCAATTTAGAAAATTATTTAATTTTAAACTCTAACAAAAATAACAAAATTTCTGGATCAATTCCATATATTTCACCTGAGGTATTAAGAGGAAATAGGTTTACAACGGAGTGTGATACTTACAGTTTTGGTGGAATTATGTATGAAATAGTTACTGGACAACAACCATTTACTGACCAAGCACATGATACTTATTTGATGATTGATATATGTAACGGCGTAAGACCAAAGGTCCCTGATTTTATGTTAAATTGGATTCCAGAATGGTATTTAGACTTGATGTATCGATGTTGGAGTGATGATCCTTCTGAACGTCCAACCGCCATTGAATTATCTAATTTTTTTTGGGATGCAGTAGAAAAACTTGATGATAATATAGTGGATAATAATGTTATGCGACAACTTAAAATTGCTGATGAAAATCAAAAAAATACATCAAAATCTCAGAAGCAAGAATTATTTGAATTATTTTGTCATTCAAGTAAGTTACATCCTCAATCATGTTATATTAGCCGATATATTCATACTCTTCATGGATTGCATGATTCATTGGAAGAAATAAAAGCTGGGAAATCTTCAGGTAATATTCTTGGAAAAATTTATTTTAATATGATTAATTAATTATAGAATTTTTGAATTATTTAAAATATTTAAATTTACTAAATATATAGATCCTAATATACTAAAGTCCAATGAAACAACTTAATTAAGTGCCAATGCTCATGATATATTTTTAAAATTTATGGAATAAAAAATTAAAATCCAAACAGAAAAAAGAGATCATTCTCTAATATAACGACTTTGGTTGTATTAAATTAAATAGAAAATGGTATTTCAGTTAAAGAATGAATTAGGTTTTCATTTATTTTAATTTTTTTAATAGTTTTATGTGTTTAAAAAATTTTAAAAAGTTTATTTTTCTATTTTATTGTATCGTGGAATCCATTTCTATATTCCGTTATTATACGAAGTAAAGAAATTAATTTAACATATCATTTTTAAAATTTATAACTATTCTAACTATTCTCTTTTGGATGTATTAATAAACTCATACATGCAGTGTTGCTTATTATTGAAAGGGTTTTATTTATTCATTATTTAATTGTTCCAGTTATTGCTAATTGCGTCAGTTTTTGTTTGATCAATAATTACCATAGTTACAGGAAAAAAGAGATATTTTAAACTGGTGTTGCTACTTGCCATACTGCTGTTGATATAAGCCTTATAAGTTTTTCAGTTAGATTTTTACAGTTGTTTGCATTTTAGTTTAATATTCTTAGATAGTTTAGAAATAAATAGAGGAATATAAATGTTAGATATATTGTCACAAATGTGCAGAGTATTTCATATGCTTTCACCTATCAGCCTCAGAGTTTGTCTCACACAAATTAATTTTTCAATATGCTCTATCTGCCAGTAGGTCAAGAAATCCATCAATCTAAACTTTCCTATCTCGAAACAGATAATAAATATAATATAATTCTCTTTAATTCTTTATTTTTAATCTGAAGGCTCAGTGAGTAAGGTGGAGTAAAAGTGTTACGCAATATCAAATAATATTTAACAATATTTTGCAATATCCCAACACAAAATATAGGTTTATTAAAATATATATGGTACAAATTTAAAAGTAAAGTATCATTTAACAACAGAAATATAACAGGTTACATGTCTATTTTACCATCCCTAAAGGAAGTTTATTTTTCTATCTAATAACATTAATGTTCGAAACTATCCGTAATTATTAATAAACTGAAGCCTAAGAAACTACTAGGACTCCTGTTTCCTGTCTCTAATGACCACTTCTTTATACTTTTGTTACCTTCATTCAAATTTCGCCCGTCATCCTTTGTACTTCATCCTTCATCCTCATACATTATCTTTCGGATGACACACAAGTTATTATCCTTGTACAATCATCTTAGTGTTACCAATTGTCATTCCCCACTTACTAATTTACTTTGCACAATATACTTCATTTCATTTTATCCTTTAAAACCTTATTTTTTATTCTTAAAGTTTAGGTATATGAAATGTCAAATATGTATCGTTGTCATAATAATAAAATCTAAGTTATTATTTCTCTGTTAAATAGATTAGCATGCTTTGGATCAGGCACTTGCCAGATAAGAACAAACCAATTCTTAGAGGATGAATTAAGCTTAACTTAAAAAAATAAACTTGTGAAAACAACACAAAATTAATTTGTATCATGTATATTGACATTAAATTACTTTGCTTATATCAATTCCTACATGATACATTTTGTTTTAAAATTATTTCTAATATTTGGACCATATATTTAATTATTCAATAAAATAAATTTTGCTTTATAATTGGCTTGAATGATGTTTCAAAGCATTACTTGGATAAACATCACAATACATATTATTTTATAAATATTTTTATACACTTTCTGCCATCCTTAATTCAAAGATTTCTTTCTCTGCCTTAGAATCTTTAATTTTATTATATGTTCTGATTTATATTAAAATTGACAAAATCAACTAACTCAACAGAGATGATGTCTGTGAAATAATATTTCAAATATATAAAACTTTTATTATACAAAAATTTTTATATCAAAATTTGTTGTAGATTATAATTTACGTATAAGTGTAAATCATTTGCCAACAAGATTGGAAATAAGATTTAATTGGCCGCGAAGTTGCTTTGAAAGAAATAAAAGATTCTAGATATGATACAGTTGAATTTTTTAAAATGGTATGTTTCTTTATATTTAGAATATAATTTATTATGAACTGTTATTAATATTTCGTAGTTTATTAATTTATCTTTTAATATTTTCGCATTAAGATAGTCATTTTTAATAATAATTTATCGATGCCTAAATATTATGGAATTTCAAGCATTTATTTGATGATGACTTACATAATTTTCTGACCAAAAAATAGAAATATTAGAATCAATATCAAGGGGTCTTTAAGAGTTACATGAAAAAAATATAGTTCACTGTGGTCTTAATAGTTGAAATATTTTGAAAGATTATCTTAACTTAAATCCAGAAATAGATTTAGGTTTATGTAAATTAGAAAATGATTTAATATTAAACTCTAACAACAAAACTAATAAAACTTATGGATTAATTCCTTATATTTCACCTAAGGTATTAAGAGGAAATAAATTTACAATCGAGGGTGATATTTACAGTTTTGGTGGAATTATGTATGAAATGTTTACTGCACAACGACCATTTGCTGACCAAGTACATGATACTTATTTGATTATAGATATATGTAATGGTGTAAGGCCAAAGGTCCCTGATTTTATATTATTTAGACTTGATGTATCAATGTTGGAGTGATGATCTTTCCAAACGTCCAACTTCTACTGAATTAGATCTTCTATTTTTTGAATTATTGTATGGTAATATGTGGATGAAAATATTGAAAGTCAATTTGAAATTGCTGATGAAAATCAAAAAAAATGCATCAAAATCTCAAAAGCAAAATTTCTTGAATTATTTTCACCTTCAAGTAAGTTACATCTACAATCATGTAATATTAGCCGATGTATTCATACTTTCATGGATTACATGATTTATTGGAAGAAATAAAAGCAGGAAATTCTTCAGGTAATATTCTTAGAACGATTCCAATAATTTTATCTTAATAAATGATCAATTACAAATTATTTAAATTTTTAGATTCTTAAATTTGTAGATCCTAATTTATTAAAGTTCAATGAATCAACTATTTTAAGGTCCAGGTTCAATTCTTATGATTTTCGTTCTAAAGAATTATTAAGACCTATTGATGAGAAATAGAAAATTTAAAGTCAAATGGGAAAAAGAACACTCTATAATATTTCAACTTTAGATTGGGTTTGATTCCCGAAAATTTAAAGAAAACATTAGTATTTATAATTTTATTGTTATTTAATTTTTATCATAGGAGTTAATTTTCTTAAATATATTTTGTATAGGAACTCATTTATTATTAAAGGATATCTATTTAATTTGTTTATCTTAAAACTATTTTCGCGTGCATATACTGTATTATTAAGGCTCGAATTTAGCATAAACGACTTTGTTAGAATTTTTTTCCTCACTATCAGGTTTTTTTATTTTTTTTAACTATTATTTTTGTAATCTAAATTCGATAATAATATCAATAGAAAACATCTAATATTTGTGTAAGGAAAAATCATATATTTAAGGAATAAGAGATGCCTTTCAAGGTAAGTTCTTATGTTTTTTGGCACCGTAAGAAGACAAATGCTCTGTTTTTAATTAGTACATTAAGGGAAAATAGAAAAATGGGCGAAATGAGGTATATTATAATTTATTATTGGATTTCTCTCTCTAAGCGGACTCTCGAAAAGGTCTCGCGAGTATTAGTAACCCAGAATCATAAATTCCAATAGTCTGTTCTGTGTATTATTAATTGATTGATATTAAAAAAAAATTAAAAAAATAAAAAAAGATTAAAAAAAAAATTAAAAAAAAAATTAAAAAAAAATTAAAAAAAAATTAAAATAAAATATAAAAAAATTAAAAATTTAATAAAAAAAATAAAAAGCTTATTAAACTACAAAATTTATTTTTAATAGGTCAAATATCACATGTTTTAATCTTTTTCTGTACGATGGTGCCTAAAGTTTATGTCGTGGATATAAATTTAAAGTAATGTTGTTGTTGAAAAGACTATTTCTAAAGTTTATGAAGAAATAAAACGGGAGTTAAAGATTGTTATAAAATTCAAACGAAAAAAAAAAATTTCGAAAATTCTTTTAGAGAAGATACCAATATTATGAATGAAATGGTCAAATACCGATGTTGTGATAAAAGTGTAATTGAGACTGGAGATAATTAAAACTTACTCGACTATCATTAAACGCATTAACCATTAAAAGAATCAAGCTTTCACCTTGTTTTAACAATTGTCTAACATATTTTATTTCGAATTTTATTGGCTAGATTGAAAAATAAAAAATCCTTTCTCCACATAAATTCATATAAATATATTCACGCATACAATTTTTTTCTTTAGACCGGACAGAAAAAAAACTTCAGTTGGCGTCTTCCTGAAAGTATTTGTGATGACATAAATTTGTGTCAAAACAAACTGCTCAAGTATTACACGAAGATATAATTCAATCAAAAGAGGAAAAGGATTCTTCTACCAATGTATCCTACTATTATAGTAAAAGATTGATTCTGTTGAGGCGAGTTGATTTACAATTGGGCTTAGGTTTAAATAAGGTAAATTAAAAATTTATCATTTGCATTTTCCGTTTATTTTATTAATGTTAGTGAGCCACCAGAAGGGCAGGTAACATTCTTTAAACCACAAGGAGGATATTAAATATATAACGACGTGATCATAATTGCGAAACAATTACTAGAGTTACAGTTATCCCGTTGATCATTAATTACTAATATAATTATTTTTGTGTAACAACCTGTCACAATAATATAGGCCAATGAGTTTCTGTAGCACAACAAATAATTTGATTTTATTTATTTTAACCATGTTTTCTATATGTCGAAAAAATTGTCCAGCCGGTCATTCTTCTAATGATTTAGGTTATCGTAATTTTAGAAATAACATTAACTCAAACGGAATTTGCGAGTTGTGCACCAAAGAACATTTTATTCAAGAGTTTCGAACTTGGTCTAGCGGAAATCCTAGCATCGATAAGATTATTCAAGAAACTCAAATGAACGATTTTTTTTTTAAGATACAATGGATACCTTATGATAAATTTCAAGATATCAAACATATAGCAAATGGTGGACATGGATCTGTTTATTCTGCCGAATTAGAAAATGGAATAAAATGGTATTGGAATTTTAATACACTGGATTGGGAATGTGATTTAGTAAATCATAGAGTTGCTTTGAAAGAAATCAATGATTCTAGTTACGATGTAGCTGAAATTCTTAAAGTGGTACGTATTTCTTTCTTTATTATTACGATTTTAAATTATTATAAACTATTATTTAATATTTTATAATTTATTAATTAATTAATTTGTCTTTTTTTTTTAGTATAAAACGATCATTCTTCATTCCGAATGCATGACTAAATATTATGGAATTTCAAGAAATCCTTCTACTCAAAATTACATCATCGTTACAGAATTATTTGATGATGACTTACATAAGTTTTTAACCGAAAATTTTTGGGATCTAGGATGGGAAACAAAAATAGACATATTATCACCGATAGTTCAGGGTCTTTTGAGCTTAAATGAAAAAGATTTAGTTCATTGTAATCTTCATAGTGGAAACATTTTGATCGAACATAATTTCAATTTTGGAAACTTTGACATTGCATCAATTATAGATTTAGATTCATGTAAATTCGAAAATGATTTAATTTTAAACTTTAATAACAAGAATAATATTATTTATGGATCAATTCCATACATCCCACCTGAGGTATTAAGGGGAAACGAATTTACAAGGGAGGGTGATATTTATAGTTTTGGTGGGATTCTGTATGAAATAGTTACTTCACAACGGCCATTTTCTGACCAAGCACATGATACTTATTTGATTATAGATATATGTAATGGTGTAAGACCAAAGGTCCCTGATTTTATGTTAAATTGGATTCCAGAATGGTATTTAGAATTGATGTATCGATGCTGGAGTGATGATCCTTCTAAACGTCCAACTGCCATTGAATTATCTAATTTATTTTGTAACGTGTCAGAAAAACTTTATAATGATGTAGTGGATAATAATGTTATGCGACAACTTAAAATTGCTGATGAAAATCAAAAAAATACATCAAAATCTCAAAAGCAAGAATTTCTTGAATTATTTTCAAATTCAAATAAGTTACATTCGCAATCTTGTTACATTAGCAGATGTATTCATACTCTTCATGGATTGCGTGATTTATTGGAAGATCTCAAATCTGGAAAATCGGCAGGTATATTTTTATAATAATTTTTCCTAATTTTTCTTTTAATAAGTCATTAATTATAAAATTTTAAATTTATAGATCCTAATTTATTATTAACGACCAATGAATCATCTATTAACAGCTAATATTGACAGGGAGCCAGAGATTCAAAGAATGGGTTAATTTGAATAGAGAAAGTTTAAAAATAATGGAAAAATTCTGCAAATTCAAATCAAAATATTAATTTTTTTAGTTTATTTTATTTAAGAGTTAATTTTCTAAATTGTATTTTGTATGGAAATTCATTTATTTTTAAAGATAATTTATTTATTTGTTTATTTTTTTTAAAAAAAATATTTTGAATAAGAATCGTTCAAATTTAATATACTTATCAGTTTATGTATGTATATTCAATGCTTCAAATAAACGTTATTATATGCTAATAAAGATTACTTTGAACTTTTTACTGTACTATTATTCAAAATTATGCTTAAATGTTAACGAAGTACAATTTCTTCTATTATTCTATCTTATATGAATTAATGTTTCTTTCATAAAATAAAAGTATATCATATATTTTAATTAGTTTTTACATAGCTTTTGTTATTGACTATTGGTTTTTTTTTTTTAATTGAGTGTCTGATCTCAATAATACTCAAGAGAAATTTAGAGAAACAATGAATATTCACGTTAAAATAAGAAAAAATTTAAATTGTTTTGTGAAGTATTTTTGGACACTACAAGAAGACAAAGAGGGCGAATAAGATAAGTGACTTACGTTATACTTTTATTTTTTATTTTTATTTATCGCATGAGGAAATAAATAAGAATGAATCATTATAACTTATTTATTGGGTCAACGCAGAAATTCATGCCTTCTCCTTATTCCTTCCGGCAATTTGTTCATAGTAAACATGGAATGACAATCCTCATAAGATTATTTAAAAGAGGATATATAATAGTAGCAAAAATCTGCGCTGTTCTAGAACTCGTTATATTATTTTACTTCACATCCAATATGCAGGTTTGTAATTATTATCTAATTTAGATAATCCTCGCTAATTTTTTTCTCCTGAATTGTACTGAATTTGTTCTACGTATTATTGATTGATATTTTAATATTTTCTCCAGTATATAATATGGAAGCTATCTTCAAAAAATTGATCACGTTTAGATAATGATCAGGAATGATTGCATAAAATAATTAAAAATATTCAATATCAAATATTCCTTTTATTTCCCATGTCTCGAGAAATAGAAAAAAAAGTATTGTCCAGCAGGTCATTCTTCTAAGGATTTCGTTTATCCTAATCGCATAAATTACATTAATTCAGGTGGAAAATGCTCTTTGTGTACTAAAGAGCATTTTATCCAAGAATTTAAAACTGGGTCTAGTAGGAACGCTAACATCGATAAGGTTATCCAAGAGACTCAAATAAATAATATTTATGATAAGTTACAATGGATACCTTATGATAAATTCCAAAATATAAGACACATATTAGATGGTGGCCATGGATCAGTGTATTCTGCCAAGTTAGAAAAATGGAATTGGAATTTCATCAAACAGGATTGGAAATATCGTTTAACAGGTTACGAAGTTGCTTTGAAAGAAATAAAAGATTCTAGATATGATATAACTGAATTTCTACAAGTGGCATGTTTCTTTATATTTAGAATATAATTACTAATATTTTGTAATTTATTAACTGAGTTTTAAATTTTCATATTAAGATAAATTTTGTTCGACTTTTTGTAAAATATTATGGAATTTCAAAAAAAATTATTGTTATGGAGTTATTTGATGATAGCTTACATAATTTTTTAGCGAAATCTTTTTGGAATTTAGGGTGGCAACCAAAAATATACAAATTAAAATCAATAAAAGAAGGTCCCTGATTTTATGTTAAATTGGATTCCAGAATTTTATTTAAAGTTGATGTATCGATGCTGGAGTGATGATCCTTCTGAACGTCCAACTGCTGATGAATTATATGATTTATTTTATGATGTAAAAAGAAAACTTTATAATATTATAGTGGATGATGAAGTTATGCGTCAACTTAAAATTGCTGATGAAAATCAAAAAAATACATCTAAATCTCAAAAACAAGAATTACTTGAATTATTTTCATATTCAAGTAAGTTACATCCACAATCATATTATATTAACATACTCTTCATGGATTGAATGATTTATTGGAAGAAATAAAATCTAGGAAATCTTCAGGTACATTTTTCACTAATTTTATTTATTCGATTACGAAATTTTAAATTTTTTGAATTTTTAAATTTATAGATCTTAATTTATTATTAAAGTCTAATGAATCAACTACTTCAAGTGTCAACACTCATAATATTGATGAGGAAACAGAAATTCAAAGCAAGCAAAAAAATGACATTCAGCTTTGATAAAATTTAAATGAATCAATAAGAGAAAGTAAAAGATAAATGGAAAAGTTCTGGAAGATGCAAATCAAGTCTTGTTTTATTCTATTTAATTTTATCATCTTAGTTAATTTTCTAAATTAAATTTTTTATGGAATCATTTATTATTAACATATATAATATAAATAGTTTGGGGCTTTTTTGTTTTTTAAAAAATTTATTAAAAATGACAAAATTTGAAAATTTTATTTTTTAAAAAAATAATAAAATTCAAAATTTCGAAAATTACAATTTCATTTTTTTTTGTTTTTATAAAATTTGTAAATTTTAAAAAATTACAATTTCGTTTTTTATAAAATTTTATTTTTCAAAAAAAATATCAAATTACAATTTTTTTAAAAAAATACAAAATTCAAAATTCAATTTTCATTTTATTTCATTTTTTTTTTATTAAATTTTGAAAATTACAATTTCGTTTTTTTTTGGTTCTTAAATTTAAAAAATTTTAATTTTTTCATTTTGGATTTGATTGTTTATGAATTTTTGTATGAATTTTGTACTTTTTAATTTGGAGACTTGACAAAATTTTTTATTGTTTTTTTAAAATTTGAAAAATGAAATTTAATTTAAAATTTAAAAAATTTTATTTTTTTTATTTTGAATTTGATTATTTATGAATTTTTGTATGAATTTTGTATTTTTTAATTTGGAGGCTTGACAAAATTATTTATAAGTTATTTAGTTTGATAACATTAAATAATTTTATTATTTTTTTTCACACATTTAAATTGGAGACTTGTAACCTTTACCATTAGGTGAATTCATAAGTATAATTTTTTTAAGAAGAAAATACTGAATTTATAAAAAAAAAACGAATTTAACTATATTATCAACAATCTGCACATAATTACTAATACATATTGAAATCAAAAATTTTTTACATTACATAATACAATAAGTGAAAATATGAATTATATTTGAACAATTATGCATTGTTATTATATTATCACACATGATTAGTTAATATTAAATTTGTATTATGGAATTAAAGAAATCAATTTTTATGTAAGTAAGAATTAAAAAAATTATACATAAATTAAATACATTATGTAAATAATGAAGATGAGAATTATATTGAATGATTAATCTATTAATTTTCAATTGTAAAGATAATTGTTCAAATGACAAATCTTTTGATAAAAATATAACTATAACCATGCTAAAAAAAAAATTATGCATAAATTAAATTTAATTTGTTTTACATTATATAATTACATTCAGTATTATGTAAATAAGAAAAAAAAATTATGATTGATTAAATGTTTTTTATATTACATTAAATAAAATAATTACATAAAACAATAAAACATTATCTAAAATAAAAAATAAGAAAAAATAAACATTGTGATGATGATGAACAGATGAAAAAAATAAAATGATTGAAATAATGATGAACAGAATAAATAACTAAATAAAAAAAAAATAAATGACTGAGGTGATGAATAAAAAAAAAATAAAATGATCAATATGATGGTGATGATTTTGATTCCTTCACCTGCCCAGCTGATTCTGTATTTCTAAAAGAGAGAAATGTAAGTATTATTTTTCTTTTTTTTATTTTAATTTTTTTTTTGAAAAAAATAAATAAAAATAAATACCTTTTCTAATTTTTCTTTTTTTATTTAATTTTTCTTTTAAAAAAAATCTCTATTATTTTGTAAAAAGAAAGATTTTACCATTATTAGAAAGATTATTTTACGATTATCATTTATCATTGATGGGATGATCGACAAGGTAGCACATTAGAAAATCGTATGGAATAATCACATAATCACCACGTTATTATTATACTATTATATAAGCTCGATTAAACTATTTATACTAAAATTAAATTCGATTTGATAAATAAAATAAAATAAAAAATAAATTTACAATGAATTAAATTTGCACAATAACTATATTGTTAAAAAATTCTAATTTTGGCAAAATAATTAAAAGTGATAATTTGATTGTTCCGAAAATTAATATAAACAATTAGCTCACACAACTAACATTATTAAACTTTCAATATTACATTTGAAATATAAATATAAAATACAGTAACTATAATTTTTAAAATAATTTTAACTTTATTTAAAAAGTAATAGTGATAGCTCACCAGATCCAAATAATGGAACTTGATTTCTTAGGAAATGAGCTTGCTGAATCAGAATCCTTAGATGTAACATTCTTGTCAGGTCATATAGCAAGGAATAATGCAAACTCTAATCATTCAAGAGTGCCAGCACAAATTTGTATGGTATCAAATATTGCTTCATCAACAATTCAATCAGAATTTGATTCATGGAAACTATCAAATAAACTTAAGAAATTATATAATCACTTTAACAATACAGTTTTAAATCAATTTCCATGTGTTCCTTACAGTTACTGTTCAAAACTATTATATCCTTTGGATACAAAATGGATTATATAAACCTGATAATACTTATCCTCTTACTGAAGTATTTCCAAATGTATCACTCTGCTTTCATCCAAATTCAGAAATTGAAAAAATTGCTTTATGCAAATCATGTCTTAATCCTTTAACACATCAAGCTCCACCAAAACTTGATCTAATTCCAAGTGAAATTGTTTCAGTTTCAATGTATTATCAAAAATACCTTTCACCAATACATTTAAGTTGTTCTTTAGATTGCACACCTGGATCAAACCAATATACATGCTATCGACATATGCAAGGATCATTTGGCTATTCAAAAAATTTACATGCTTTGACATTATATTCAGGTACAATTGATGTCTTATTTGGAAATAATACTTCACAAACTTGGTATCACCCAATTTTATTAACAGCAGCTTCTTGATTATGTTGTAATAATGATTTCTTAAAAACATATAATCATTTTTATAATAAAGGTAATATCAATGGACCACCATTAGTATTTTCAACTGCAAGAATCCTATTATCTTCTGAAAATAATGTCAAATTAATGCAAACCAACTTACAACCTACTAATATAATTGTTCCAAATACAGATTTTAATCCAGAAATTCACAATAAAGATTACAAATATACACATTTAATGGCTGGATTTTTAATTGATAACAATGATACTACTTTGCCAATTTCTTTTTCAGATCCAAATAAGAACTTTTACTATTTCCTGATTTATTTACTTTAGGACAAGGTCATTATGTAGATTTTAAACTATCACGTAATAATAGACCAAATATTAATACATTAGGTAGTTATATTTGTTTATATTTGCAATGTCCAGATCCAAGATTGGTACTGGCCTCATTATTCTTATTTAAATTTGGAAAAATAACAAAACCATCAAAATAGAATTAGATTATTATGACAATCTGCTGCAGATCAAGAATATCTTCCAACAATAGTAGATTTAAATAAAAAAAAGTACTTATTTAGGAAATTCCATTATTGATGAATTACAAATTACAACAATTCCTTCATTTATTCGTACTGGTAGTACTTATTGACATCAAAAGGAATTAAATTTAATTACTATAGTAGAAAAATTTTGGTTTACCAAAAATCTTCTATACAATGACAATGGCTAAAGGAAGTTGGACACATTTACATAAAATTCTTGCTACAACTGATAATAAAAATTCACTTCCAACAAATAGGCCATATCATGTTTATCAACACTATTAACATAGATTAAGATCAATTCATCATTACCTTTGGAAGAATTCAAATTTAACCAAATGGGAAAAATGGTTATATCACTTTGAATGTGATGAGTTTCAAAATTGAGGGGCAATACATATACATGAGTTGGCATGGCTTGATAAATCAATTAAAGAATTAATTGCAAATAAAATTATTAGAGCTGACCTTCCTGATGAAAATAGTGAAAAGGAACTTTATGACTTGGTAAAAAAACATCAAATACATCATTGCAATCCTATTCATTGTGGTGGACCACCTTCTTCAGGTTCTTGATATAAACATGGATTTCCTCAACCTCTATCAATTTCAACATATCACAATACAAATAAATTAAGATTTACGTATAGAAGAACTAAACCAGAAGATCAATGGATGGTTCCATATCATGCACCTACACTTTATATTTGGCAAGCTCATTGTAATATTCAGTTTGTAACTGATAGATTCTTTGCTGAATATATGTGTAAATATGCAACAAAACCAGAACCAACTGATTTATTTGAACTAAATGAGCAAAATGCATTTAAATAACATGTTCATGCTTGTAGAATGGAAACAATGGAATTAATGTTATTATCACTTGGAAAATCTATTTGTCGTAGTACTATAGCAGTAGATCATTTACCTTCATCTTTTCCTGGTTATCAAAATAAGGCAATACGTCCTGTTTATCAATTAATTAACACTGGTCGAAAATTGATAAAACATACACATATCGGGTACCCGATATGTGTATGTTTTATCAATTTTCGACCAGTGTAATGAACAAATAACAAATCCATATTATCAAGATGCTATTGATAAGTATTTTAAAGACCTATAGGATAATATTTGATAATTTAACATATCTAATGTATCATTGAAAGTTCAAACAAATGTCAAATATACCTACTCAAATGAATTTTGGCAAGATAAAAATAATAGAATCATTGTAGAAAGAAAAAAAGAAATTTTAGTTCAATTTCAATATTTAACAGTCAAAAATGCTGAAGATTTTTTCTATCAACAATTACTGATTAAACTTCCAGCTCAAAATGAATATGATTTAAAAGGTAATTTTAATACTTATAGAACTCACTTTCAAAGTAAATTTCCAATTGAATATACAAATGTTTTAAATGCCATATCTAATTCATCCCAAATGTAAACAAATCAATTTAATACAAACTATCAAAATCTAATTTACTCATTATTAATAGTATTACAACAAGATATAACAACAATAATTGGCAATCAATTAACAAGACTTATTCCATCAATATCATTTTTTTCAAATAATGAAACATTAATTTTACGTCCTGATCAATATTATGTATATAATATTCTTACTACCTGTTGGGAATCAAATCATCAATCTCGTCAACATCCTTTTTTTTTTTGTAACAGGTTCAGTAGGAACTGGCAAATCATATATTATTCAACTTATTGTAGAATTTCTAAAATCAAAAGGTGCAAATTATCTTTTGATAGCACCAACAGATGTAGCAGCTCAAAATATTGATGGTAAAACAATCACTCTGAATTAAGAATTTCATGAAGTATTTATAATCTTCAGTCACTTGTAAATAATGATCAAAATTTATTTCAAAGATTATCAAAAGTAGAATATATAATAATAGAAGAAGCCTCTATGGTTGCAGCTCAAATGTTAACATTTTTAAATATATTATTTGGCTGTATTAAAAAAAATCACTTAGAATTTGGTGGAATTCCTGTTCTTCTTATTGGGGATCTTTTTCAATTACCACCTGTTCAAGGTGACTTAATCTTTTATTCACCTGTATGGAAAAATTTTTTTCCATTATTTTTAACAACTGCACATCGTCAACAAAGAGATGAATCATTTTATCAAATGCTTGAAGAAATTAGAATGGAAAATGTTAATGAAAATATCATTAACAAGATACAACAAAAAATTAATAATTATAATTTTACTAATAAAGTATTAGAAACTACTCACATTGTAGGATACAGAAATATAGCATCAAACATTAATAATATTGTTGAAAATTATCTTCCATCAGCTAATGAACATGAAAGTCCTTATGAATCAGTAGCAATTGATTATATAGGTAATGCTCAGATAACACCTACTGAAACAGATAGACTATTTTGTCACTATACAAACTTTCCAACAAAAATAATTCTTAAAGAAGGTATGAGAGTAATGTTTCTTAATAATTCATTATTCACTAAAGGATTATTCAATGGTTCCATAGGTATGGTCTTAAAAATTATTGATAATGATACCATTCAAGTAGCCTTTCCATTAAAAACAGGTATTGCTAATGTAATAATAGTAAAAGAAACTAGTTATTTCAAGGTAAATGGAATTCCTTCACATCATCACCAATTTCCACTTCAAAATGCATTTGCACTGCAGTGCACAAAACTCAAGAGTTAATACTTCCTCATATAACAGTATTTCTTGATGAAACAATATTTGCATGTGGACAAGCATATGTAGCCTTAAGTAGAGCTACATCATGGGACAACTTAGAAATCACTTCATTTAACAAGGATTCAATCAAAACTGATCCAAATGTAATTATTGAATATGAAAAATTAAGAGAAAAATATAACAATAGCATCAGTGAATTTAGTACATTCATAGCATAATATAAAATAAATTCACAAAAAAAAAACCTGTTAATTATTCATTATTAACTGAACACAAAAATCAATAACCTGAATAAATAAAAACACCTTATATTTTAATAAATTTATGGACAAGAAATTATAAATAATTAAATACAAAGACTAATAATTAAATAAAAACACCCTTAACCCTGAACTCTTGTTTATTATTATAATTTTTTTGTATTTTTTTTTTTTGTGATCTATTATTTTTATTTTTTTTTCATGGTATAAAGGTTTTTTTTTTCTTTTTTTGTATTATTTTCATTTTTTTTTGTGGTATAAAAGACTTTTTTGTTTTTTTTTTGCGTTTGGCTTTTGGGCGACAGATGACAAAATTGTTGTGACAATTTTTGCCCCTAACTTTAAAATTAACCCTAAATTTTTAATAAAGCCATACGATGCGATGTGACAAAAAACAAAATCCATTAAAAATAATTTTAAATAATAATACATATTCTATATCCGTTATCACCGAATAAAATAATTAAGCAATTTTTTTTCGTTTAAAGTCATCTCCTAAAGATAAAAAAAAAAAAATCAATAAAAACCCATTTTTACAAATAATATATAAAAATATTAAAATTTTACCTTGACGCTTGACGATTTTCTCTTCCTCAAGTAATTCATGTTTTCTAGAATTTACTGCAACACTTGAACCTGAATTATAACTATTTAATAATTGTTTATAATTATTTATAAATGATTAGTAACTACAGCAAATAAATCATTTAAAATATCATATAATTCTTACTTAATGTTAATTATATCAAAATTATCATTGGAGAATAAATTATCATCAGAGTATAAATCTATAAAAAAATCATATATAAGTAATTATTAATGTTAGACGTAATCATTATGACGAAATAATTAAAAATACCTGACCTGATATTGTTGAATTAAAGGATTCTAACATAGAATTTAATGATGTGCTATAATATCTAGAATTCGGATGTTCATATCCTGGTTTTTTTACAAATGGTTTTTTTGATCTAATCATTTCAAGTCGTTTCTTTTCAGCACCAAACCAAATTTTATATTGTTTTGGATGATATTGTTTGATTTTGTCTTCAGAAATATAATAAATATTTCTAAATTCTCCTGATAAATTAAAAATTTCTTGTATCGTTGGTCGTTGTGACGGATCCGCATGCCAACATCTTTTCATTAAATCAGCCCAATTTTTTGGTGTATCTTCTGTAATTTCTGGTCGTTTTCCATCTACAATATCGAATATAAGTTTTGTTCCATGTTCTTGATCATGAAATGGTCTATGTCCTGATGTCATTTGCCACATAATCATTCCTAAACTATAAATATCTGATGCATATGAATATGATCGATTTCTAAATAATTCAGGAGCCATATATGGAATAACTCCATATATTTGAGATTTTCTTGAATGATTTGAATCAATAGTTGCTGGTTGACTAAGTCCCAAATCAGAAATAATTGCATAATTGTAGTTGTAAAATTGACGAGCGTATCCAAATGTATTCAATGAATGATCCACAAATTCATTTAGAAGAATATTGCCGCTATGTAAATCTCGATGTATAATATTCTTATCATGAATTTCTTTAATTCCTTTAACAATGTCACATAAACACTTGATTTTTTTCTTCCATGTAAATTCATCAAATTTTTTACATGCAAAATGATATAAGTCTCCCTCTCGTGCTTCTAAAATAAAAGCATAGTTCTTAGTTTTTGGTTCCAGTGTTACCCCAAAACATTTAATTATTTGTTTTCCATAATTTTGAGGATAATAAACCGAAAAGTATGTTCCAACTACATTTTGTCAAGTGCAATAATAAGGAATATTTAATTAAAATAAAGAACATTCCATTCTATACAGTTAATTTGATTACTAATAAAAAAAAATTATTACCTCTTTTAAAAAGTTTGTGTCTACATTTTGTGAATTGTTTAGAATTTTCAAAACAACTTTGGTTTCTGATTGCCTACATTTATTCTTTTTCCAAGTTGCATTATAAATCTGACTAAAACCACCTCTCCCGATATATTTTATATTTTTAAATTCTTTATATGGAACCCATTCCAGAAACGAACTTCTTATGCTATTATTTTTTGATTGTGACTTTTTGATGAAACGATCAATGTTCTTATTGCCACTGTTAACAACATGCAACGATTTCAGTGCAAAACAACGTACACATAAAAGCATACTATTAATTTTTTTTCTTTTGCAATTTAAACAGCTGGCTTGTTCATCAGAACCATCGAGAATTCTGATAATGAATTCTTTATCCATTATTTTTTTTGATTATAGAAAATTTTAGAAAAACGAAAGTAAAAACTTTTATTTAAATAGAAAATTCAATACGCAGTCATACCTTTATTTTTTTCCAAAAAAAGAAAACTGCGCGATACTTCTAAACGGAAAGAAATTTATTTCTTAAACCGTAAGCAATTCAGGGAAAATTTCCAGTAAATTTCTTACATATAAACAAGAAGGCTTGGATTAATCCATTACATATTTAGAATAGTTTTATTAACCAAATTTTTAATCAATTTAGCTAAATTCATCTAAATTTAAACAAGATTCAAATAGATATAAAAATTGGTGAATGAATTAAAAAAATTGTTATTTCTGTTTCTTTTATTATTTTACTTTTTTGATTTTATTTTTAGCTTGACACCAAACAATGATCACCATAGGAATACATAAAGCAAATTGGTATGTAATATTTGAATAATGAACACGAAAATTAAAATTTTTAGTAAGTAATGAAATTAATAATAGTACCTTTGAAGATTTCCCCAAAAAATATATTTGTATGTCGTAACAATTTTTTTGTGGAAATTTTCTTTACTATTATCACGTCATTGTAATACCTTTATTAAGAATAATTAATAAATTTATTTAAAATTATCCTTTTTTGACTTTGTGCATCGTACAGTATTTTAATTTGAGTTCATAAAAAATTTTATTACATTCATTATATTTCTTCCGCTTTTCAAAATTGTTATATTTTTCATTACATCCGTAGAGTTTTACTTTAACAAAAACAATTATACTTATTCCGACCTAATTTGTATGATAAAGAAGAGGTCGTGAATAGCATCCAAGTGATGAAGCATGCTATGAAATTATTTTTTTTAAATTTAAATATTAAAACAAATACTTCTTGCGTAATACTTGTCATAATCTTTAGACATTTGAAACGTTAATATCTTTATATTCCATTTAATTCATTTATAAATATATAAGTAAATAAAATAAATTTAACTGAAATTATTTCTCGAATAATTTTATAATCAATAAAGTTTATTGTAGAAATGACCACTGAACAAAAAAAAAAAATTTCTGTGTAATTTAATTCTTATTTATTGTACTAACTGTTTCACGTATGCATACATCTAAGTTTAAGTTAATCCGTAAGTGTGATGCATTATAATAAAATATGTCTATCTATGTTTATATACTATTGATTTAAATTTACTTTGAAATTCAAGTATTCAATATTATGTAAAAGGATAATAATAATAATAATAATAAAGATGTTGCTACTTTCAATTCCAAATAATTCTACCGCCAGTTCTAAGGTAAGGAATTTGAACAAAGAAGTAAAGAATTCTTAGGTAAATAAGATTAAAATTTATTAAAATTTTTCATTTATAACTCATTGAATTATGTATATAATTTTTAATACTATTTTTTTATTATCATTATTGCTTGTAGCGATATTTTATTGGTGGCGAAGGGGGTTGTTGTCCTTTTGTTTATCGTTATACAAATTTGTGTATATTACTAATCAATCATGATAACGATAGGTAATTTCTCTGCACTGTAAGTAAGTATTGTGGCGACACGGAAACGTTCGTGACCACTGAAGGTGGCGGACAGAGGTGGTAGTTGCACCAAGTAGATTAT